GCTCAATCAAAAGTTTAGTAATTCTTTCTGTTCATGCACATTGAAATTAAAATGATTAATTTCAATTGAATTAATAAGATTTTGTAATAGTTGAGGAGCTCTGGTGGCGTACTGGTTATGGCATTTAGCTGCTTACCAAAAGGTCAGCAGTTCCAACCCACTAGCCACTCCATAGGAGAAAGATGAGGTAGTCTGCTTCCATAAAGATTTATAGCCTTGAAAACCCCATAGGGCAGTTCTACTTTGTCTTGTAGGGTAGCTATAAATCAGAATACACTCAATGGCAATAACTTCTGGTTTTGGTTTAGTAACGGTAGTATTCTACTGAAAACAGTTTTTAAAAAAATAATAATAATGATCAAACATTCTTTAACTATTCACAAAAAAAAAAAAAAAAAAAAATAGTAACAACATTAAAGCTGAAATGGAAGGTCAAATATATAGCAAGGAAAAAAAAAACACCTCATTGCCATGGAGTCGGATTCCACTCATAGGGACCCCTCTTTGAGTTTTCAAGGTGATATCACTATGGAAATAGATTGCCCAACCTTCCTTCCGAGGAGTATCTGGTGGGTTCGAACTTCCAGCCTTCCGGTTAGCAGTCAAATGCCTTAGGCACTAGACCACCAGAGCTCCAAACTGTTCACAAAGATGACTTTTAGTATGTATTGTTTCTCAAAATAAATATTCCTTTCATTTACCAGGAAGGATTTCATTGCATATAGCCTGACTTACTCTAACTCAAAGACTGGGTATTGGGATGAATGAAGAAAGGAATTTATGTCAGGACCTTCACTCCCCCATTAATTGCTCTTAAAAGGGCTATGAAATGATCATTTTTAAGAAAATATGAACTTCTACTCTGTAATTAGAATTTCAGTACATATTTGAGACCATTTTTAGTATTGTGTTTAGAGATTATCACATTCTAAGTTAAACTCTAATAAAGGCAGCCTTCATGAGGTAGGTCAATATTCTTCCTTCAAAAATTGTAATGTGCCTCAATAGAAAAAAAAAAAAGTATTACACAACAAAACAAATGCCTGTGTATTAACTAATACACATATTTTTATATTGTCATGTAGTTAAGTTTATATTGAAACTGGAAAAGAAATCCCCTGTATATTACAGAAATACATTTGGAAAAAAAACAAAATGAGTAAATAATTTATGTTTATTTCAAGCGTGGAAATGGAACATTAAACATAACAATAATTATGCTGCTTACTGAAAGGTTGGTAGTTCTAGTCTACTCAGAGGCTCCTCAGAGGAAAGCCTTGGAAATTTACCTCAGAAGGATCAACCATAGAATGCCCTATGGAGCGCAATTCTATTCTGATACACAGAATCTATGAGTCAGAGTTGACACAGTAGCAACTGAATCTGGTGGTAGGTGAAGACTAGATGCTACTTCATTCCCAGCAATGAATCTCAGAAACTTTTGCTTATGATTTATATTGATTTATACTTTTTACAAGATAGCTTTGATCTCCAAAATAAAATGGCTTATTCATACTATTCAAAAGCATAAAAAATTTTGAAGATAAACCCAGAAGTACTAGCATAGTGAAATTCCCTCTCCCCCAAAATATTGACGTTACTTAGAGTGACAGAAATGAATGTAAATTCCAGTTGTAATTTTTTGGGGGGATGAAGGAGGAAAACTTTTTACAAGCCACACAAATATTAGCCCAAGTGCACAGGATTTAATGGTAAACTATCAAATGTCAGAGAGACAGAAAACAATGAAAATCATGATTAATTGGCATTGTTGTAAGATTTGAGTAATAGTAAATAATCTAGTTTGACATATAAAATTTGCCTTTTTGATATGTAAAATTATTAATAACTATATTTTAATAAAGAACCTCCAGTGGCATGGTGCCTAAGGCATTTGACTGCTAATCAGAAGGTTGGTGGTTCAAACCCACCAGAAGGAAGACTGGGCAATCTACTTCCTTTAAATTATCTTCATAATCTTTTTATAATCTTTTATTTACAAAGTGCTTTTATTTACAAATTGCCCCTGAAACCCAAGGATGGGTTGCTGTGAGTCGCATCCAACTCCATGGCAGTTTTTTTTTTTTTTTTTTTATAAACTATGATTATTAAATCTAAGCTGCTTGGTAATGAAAGATTTGGTGCTTCTAAATCTATGAATATATTGTTTTATTTGTCATTCTGCATTGCATCACATTTTTACAATTAACAATATTAAACTGTTTTACTCTCTAATTACTCTTCTATAAATTTGGTATTGATTTGGTAAAACTTATTTTATGTCATTCTAATAAGTAATTCTAAATTCCAAAACATTTAGCAAATTTCTCTCTATAAAACAGTACCATAAATGCTAGAATATTGTGCTTAACAATTTTTAATTTGTTTCCAGAAAATTACCTTTAAAAGAAGAAAATGGCAAAGAAGTCTTAAATCCAGAAACTATAGAAATTAAAGTTGCTAATGATATACAATCAAAAGAAGATGACAGCAAAGCATAATTACAAGATTACAGCAGCTTGAACACTGAAAAGAGCATATGGATTACAGTGACCCTATGACCAAAACTATTTCATTGACCTTAATTTCTCGGGAAACGTTAAGCTTGGAATAGCTTGTACACATATACATATGATCAAATACTCCTGTCCATGATCTTTTTCTCTTTTGTTATTGTTGTTGTTGTTTATTTTGTTAAGAATTTCAAGATATAGACCTGACTGGCACCAACACTTGGGTACCAATTTGATTTGGTGGTTGAAGTACTACAATTTATTGTATAGCTTAAGTGCTCTATTTCTTAAGAACTATATTTCATACCACAGCCACTCCAACAAACAGGGCCATAAGAAAAAAACAAAACAGCAACAACAACAACAACAAAGATTTGTGAGATAAATGTATAGGAAAGCCCTGCATGTCCTTGAGTCTTATTTTAGGCAATTAGATTATTGAAGTGGCTTTTCTGCTTAAGATGATGGCACTTAATAAATGTAATACTTTCATCAGGAAAATTTCAGGAAACCCAGGGTTTAAAGGAGCCAGATTTCCACAACAGGTATTAAAAAATGGGAGACACTTTGGAGAACCATTTTCAAGTTATGATTACAGTGCTATTTCAATGATGATTTTTGATAGCGTGAAGTGCCGATCAAAATTGTTACCCATTTAAAAAAAAAATATTAGTTGTGTGTGAAACTAGATTAGAAAGACCCCTAAATTTCTGTCTCTTTATAGATACCATATTCATTCAAAATGGATTACACAAATATAAAATATATTGCAAGTGAAAATTATATTGATTTCTGCCCTCAGCTTCAAGTAAAGTAAATTTAAATGGGAACAATATCAATATCTTGTCTTGATATATTTATAAATTTGTTATTCTTTGTTTCTTAACTGAACTAGTCTCTAGTGTTCAAGTATTTAAAATCATAGTCTCTGATACAGTTTTTAGCCCACAGTTTATAGTAATCTTTATTTAAAATCTGTATTTCCTATGGTATAAATCAACATTAGATTTAATTGGCTAAATAGAAATGAAAATATTCAGTTTGATTAAATTATTTTTTTGTCTATACATGTCATAAAAATGTCAATGGTAAATAACTGACTTGCCACTATTTGTGTTTATTCTGCATATTGTAGCTAGAAGTCATTTTAAGATTTTGGTAAACAATTTGGTTGAAGAAATTCTTTAAATATTCAACACAAACTTTCTAATATCACTTGTTAAAGCCTAATCCAGAATAAAATACATATTAACTTCCAAGCTATGCAAGCCCCCAGAGGTAAAAGACTGATTAGGATTTTAATTTATATGTGAGGTAAAAGATGTATTTATAATTATAAATATATACATACCAGTTGGGAGCAAATTTTAGATTATTTCTTACCCTAACAAGTCAAAACTTTCTTTAGGCCCCAAAATATTCATAACCTTTAGTGTTTCAGGTGTTATTAGCTCAAATATTGACTGGTTGGGGAATGTGTTCCAAAAGAATACTGGAGGAAATTTTAACAGTGCAGAGCTAGCTGCTGTGGGATGTCTCTCTATGAAAATAATGAAATGAATATTAAATGTGATATTAATGCCACCCATAGACACTTGTATTTACAAAGTGCTTGAACTGTGCACCAAGGAGAGACAATTATATTCAGCTCTTCCTCACTTTTTTTGGCAATCAGCAGGACAGAATGTGCACATCTGCATGTTTAGGCACTATATCACCACAGTTTCCTAGCCATAATTAAGGCATTTTAGTAAAGGAATTGCTTACTGGTATCCTTTCTGGTATATTCTGAAGAAAAAAAGACAAGAATTCTTGTGCCTATCTGGAAATTTGAGCGGTGTCTAAAAAAGAAACCAGTTTGGTAACTTTGACAAAGTTGTCTAACTGGTTTCTTCATGGATTTGACTGTTGTTGTTTAGGTTATATTTGATTATCTGTTTTGCTTTATTTTACTGTTTCACTTTCCTTTGTACCTGTTTCACTTTTAGTTTTGTATGCTAAAGCTAGCCAAAATACTTGAATAAGATTGTGCCCATGTAAATGAGCTTAGTAAAGCATCTATGAGGTACCAGCAATGAATGATCATTTCTTTTCTGATTAGGACCATATGGTTTTAAATTACTGATGGTGAAATAATTAGGAAAGCTGGAAAAGAGACTTAGCATGTTTCCTATTGTCACATCTGTTATACTTCAAGAGCAGAAATATTAAACAAAATATTTTTGTGTTTTTCAATTTGAATGTTCTCTCATGTCTTTAGAATTTCCAGATAAATCAATTCATTTGAATTTTCTTTTATATTTACTGTTAAATTCCTTGCCACTCATGTGGAGTAATGATCTGAGATGAAGAGAGAAACTAGAGTCAATTGCGGATAGACAGTGTCAAATGCGCTGTTTCAATTGTCTGAATGGTCCTTACCTCTTGTCCTTGAAATCTATGCCACGCTGAAGGAAGGCAATACAGTGATGAGACTTTTTTTTTTTTTTTAACATTTCAATGGAATGCTCCAAATTACTCTATTTGTAATATTTTCTAAGTAAGAGATGGCTTGTTGTGAATTGTAAAATATGAATAGAATGGAAATAACCAATTTATTGTTTTCCTTCTTATTCTAGATTAACATATCCATCTAATCATATAAATGATATTTTTACTGTCAGACTACTCTTACATGTTAGTATAAAATGTCAGGAGAGTTGACTGAATATGAATACTGTTTTAGTAATCTGAACCCTATGGTCCTTTAAACCAGTAAGACAAGATCTCACTAAAACTGTTGGTATTTCTTGCCAGGTTATATACAATCAGGCAATGACAATCTATATTCAACAACATAAAAGAGGAAACAATAATATCAGCACTTTCACAAAAATATCCTTTCTAAGACTGACACAAATTAATTTGTCAACTTTTTTGCAATCTTTAGCAATGGAATTTAATTAAAAATTGAGATTTCACAAGATTTATTTGTTGCTTTCCTTGAATAAGACATATTGCCATTCTGCTGATATTAATATCTAACATTAGTGTAAAGTTTCTTAAGTTTTATATTATTTTTAATATTAATGACTATAGAAGCATTTTTTTTTCAAAGACTGCTTGACCCAGACAATATTACCTGAATTTTGGAACTAAATATTTATATAAATAGAAGGATTGTATTAATCAAATTATTTGAGTGTCAACAATTAATTATAATTTTATAATTCTACTTTTATGCTTCTTATTTTAAATAATTAAGATGAATTTGTGCCTTTGGATTAGCATGAAATTACTTTATTAAAACACATACACACGCAAAGTAATCTTTACTAATATATTTCCTTCGTATCTGTAACACTTGAATGATGCTGTTATATTTTCATTCATTGAATATACCAAATTCAAACTACTTTACCTTAAATACAAAATCTAAATAGAGCAAATTATACTATGTAAATTATTGTCACTCGACAAAATTTTTCATTTTATGCACACATATCAGATTTACTTAATTTGTTCTATCGTGTTGTTCTAGACAAGAAAGACATTCTAGATATTATTAAAATTTAACATTTCCAGTTGTAAGACAAATAAAATACATGAGTTTTTGAAATAATGTAATTTACTATGGTGTCATTTGAGTCTACATTACTCCTATTGAGATAAATTGCATTTGGGCTTGTAAATCATCTTTCCTTGTTGTTGATAAACTAATCACTGATGAAAATATATACAGCAGAAGTAGTAGGACTAATAATCTCTTATTTTAAGAAATATTGGAACAAAATATTATAATTATTTATGAAATTTGCATTTTTTTTTTAGTGGAGAATAAGGAAAATGCTCCATCTGAATGCCTCATTAAGTTCTTTTTCATTATTGTATCCAGAGTGCTTATTCAATAAATTTTTAGGGTAGGTAAAATGTTATTATTAATGAGATTGTTAGCTTTATTTATCTTTAATGAAAAAAAAATATTTGCATCTTTTTGTTAACCCTTTGAAGCGTTTTTACATAAATTCATTGAATTTGCATATGAGTGTGTTGACATATGCTAAAATAAAATGGAACAATGTCACAGAAACAAAAGACCTCAATGCTAAAATTAGAATATATAAGAAAATATTCTACTCATCAGTTTAGTGATATTCGTGATGAAACAATGATATTTACAAAAGAGAAAGACAAAAAAGTGACTAAAATTAGTTATTGCTCAATGAATATTATTCCTTTTCAGTCTTGCTTATCCTTCAGAAATTGACTTTACTTATGAGATGCAGGTATTCAACATTATACAAGAATGCTAATAGATTAATTATTTTCCCTTATATAAAAATCAAAGACTTATATATTATTCTAAAGTATGCACTTACAGCACATTTAATATTCTTAGAAATATATCACGTTTTTCTCTGTAGCATTATACCAATAACAAATACATTAGTTGATATAACCTCTTTTAAAATTTTTAAAATAATTTTTAGGATTTGACCACACATTCTTCATAATGTTAGATATAAAAATTATATCTATTAATTTAAATAATGCTGCTTCAGTGTCTTTCTTTTTCTGAAATGAAAGCATGTATTTTTCAGCATCTGGTTTTAGCCTTTTTGGAGGTGAATAACCAAAACATTGAGTATTGGAGCATTTCAAATAAAATCACAACCAGGCATAGGAAAGTAGAGACACAAAGAGCTGAGAGAATCCTGAAAGGCAAACTGGAATCTTACATTTCAGAATAAATAAGGAAGAGCCGAATGTGAATAGTGCTGGACTAGGGACTTAGAATTTTGCTAAAATGAAAATTAAGGGCAATAATATGGATGTAAAGGAGAAAAACTAGTAAAATCAAGAGGAGAAAGTTAACAGAGATAGAATCTTTGGTTCAATTTTGCAAATATAATTGTTTTAGAGAACAATACACATAATATACAATTAATGATACTTAAAGAGCAAACATTTGGTTCCAATCCTTAAGGAAGTTCATGATCTAGTGTTTG